TTTCGCCAAAGATCATATCTAAACGCCTTGCTGTATTCCCGTTGTGCAGAATATTTCAGGCAAGACATTGTCTTGACCCTCAAGGTTATGTTCAATGTTGTTATCAACGTCATCACTGGAGAGCTAGAGAAGATGCCAGCTCCTGATGCCTTTAGGCTCTTATTTGTGATGGACCTTAACCAGTAACTTTACTCAAAGGCAGATCTGGACCCAAAATTTCTCTCTTCCCATTTCCAAGGTCAGAAGTATAGAGTATCATTGAAGAAAATTTTCGCGACATTGATTTTCCCAAGGTAATAGTGAAGATCTGGTCCAAGATACTCGGTTAATAGTGAAGGTCTACCGACTGACCTTGTGTCCTCATTTTTGTATTATCTACAGTAAGATCGCGAAATTCTTTCCAAACGAGGGTTTTTTACGATGCTTTAGATTATCTACGCCACTGGTATCAAATCGGCTAAACTATGGAAGCAAGTTCCAAGCAAAGGAGGTACGGAATGTTTTCATTAAAATGCGATATCGGACTGTTACTCGATACCATTTTGTGATCAATTAGACGGACGGGACACAGAATTAACGGTCTTGATTTTAATTGGGAATGAATGGCAAATGGGACAATCGCCTCGTCTGCGATAGTATTTCCATTACAGCTCTAGTTTTCAGCTAATGGACTCTGGTGTTATACTCGAGCTATCAATTAGCGAAACGGAAAATAAGTATTTTTCTAGTGAAATGTAATGGACTAGCTCATAGTTCGTACTTGATAATCCTGGAGCTTCTAGTTCATCTTCGGCATCTTCACCTTTTTGTATCCTCTCTCTAGCTCTTCTTTTAGTAGGAAGCAAATGTTTCAGTTACATATTCGTAGCTAATTGTGAATCAAGGACTTGTTTCAATTACTAGTACTCAGAGTGCTTTGGTATAAAGGTAGAATGTATTTTTTAAACGAAGTGATTTCGTTAATAAATTACCAGATTGCTGTCTACTTTCCTTGTCTTGATTACGTGACCAAATCTAGACTGCAAAAATTGAAAATAACTGCTGCAGGTTTGAGCATGGTATGCAAAAGTTTAGCCATGTGTATCAAAAGGTCAATAAGCTGAGATGGTTGATGGTTGACCAGCTTTTTACATATCATCTGCTCATCTTAGTCCAGAGAATCACATACAATAGGGTACCTACTTATCTTCTGAAAAGTACCTCATGGTAATCAGATAAGAGAAATCTCAGGCGTAATACCGACTTCAACACACCTAGTCATAAAACTAACTAACTAAAGCTTCACGTAGAATGATGTAAAGTCCTATGACGCTCTTAGCGGTAGTCACAAAAGCAAAGTTTCGTGAAGTTCAGTATTTGTGCTTTGTGTCATCTATGACAGCTCATGTCACTGTCAAGCTGACTGGACATTGCGGTTAAGTCACAACTTTACTGTTTCCTTATACGTGGTTCTCTGGGTAAAGTTGACTACCACCTCAGGACAAACTTAATATTGAAAAACCCTTTTTGAAAGTTCTAACTTCTGGTTAGCAGACAGGTTGCAGTTAGTTGACGATTGGAAAACCAGGCCCTAAGGTTGAGCCTCTAACCTATAATGTACTTTAGTTTTGACAACTTGATGATGAAATTTCCCAAACTAATGTTTGAAATGTTTCCATATGTAAAATATGGATATAGATGTCGCATAAAGTGACGCTGTTGATGGAATAAATCTGCTACAGAGCATACATATTAGGTGTCTTGCCAAAGACAGTAAGAGTTCTGGTAACATCACATTTTTCAAATATTTCGTATCACCCGAAAGATTTTCTATTTACCATATATTGAAGCCTGGGATTCCCTTATAATTGATATGAAATGATGTTAACTATAATAGTGGTCACTGTCAATGAATTATCAATGGAACTGTTTTTTGAAGTACAAGGCGATAACCGTGATAGGTTTTCATATAGATATAACCACGTCAACTAACATGCTTCTCAAATGTAACTTGATTTCAGATGAGCTCTTACTGAATCGTGGTGGTTTAGCAGATACCTAGTTTGAGGATGACCTTAACATAAGGATTACCTTTGCGAGGCGGTAGATTTGAGAAGGGTGATGCAACCAGGTACAAGTCATCACTCAACGACCGCTGAGCGGCAAGCACGCAGTCAAATTTGCATAAACTGCAATGTTGTTTGAGCAGTTAGTTTGGAGACCAAAAATGCTGACGACTCAGAATACGTTCACTCACAATTTCGCGCTATAGCCGACATTATTTGGAAAGTGTTTCAGATCTTTTATGGCCCCTTGATCCTTGTGTACAGTGATAATCGTTGCATCTCATCACAATGGATAGCATCGTGTGAAGATTTACTTTTCCTGCATTCCTTTCTGCAAGTGAATGTCCTCTACAGGAGCTATGGCATAAAGATACCGCCGATGTCTGCAGGCGACATTGGAGACAACCGCCTTAATTGTAATTCTCGGTCGGGACTCCACCTGGATACGGCGGCAGCTTATAGCAGCCAGCACTTTCTTCCTTGGTCGCAGCAGGGGCGCGCATCCCTATCTCCTATGAATATCTAACGGACGCAAATTGGATTCAGGTGGGGGGTAATACCACCCCCAACCCCGCAATGCTACCTCAGCGTATATAACACTACACAGCATTGCTGATTCCTCAAAATTATTCTGTTTTTGGGGACTGTGTATGATTTTAGGAGCTAATTGCATGCTCTAAGAGGCAACTACTCCCAGTGGATTCATTCACAATTTTTTGACAAGGTCTAAGAGACGCGCAGTATTCTTTAGCTCAGATAGCAAAAATGTCATCAACTGCTCAAAGAGAAGCAATAACATTTCATTTGTCAAGCCATTCTGTATTTTCGTGACGTAATTAACGGGTCTACGGGAAAATTCGAATTCAAATTATTATGAGAGACATTACAAAGTATGTATAGGAATCGTCAGAGAAAAAACCTATAAAACATCACAAAATAAACATAATGTGTAAAACAACAACAAATAAATCATAAGGTAGCAAACTCAGAGACGGCATAATAACATTTACTTCCAAAAAATTATGTCAGTTAAGCTTTAAAAATTATGTATATCTCCACACTCTTTAATATGATTTGGTAGCCCATTGAAAATTCGTGGATCCAGTATTTCCTGACATCTGACGCCGTTCTTATACTTGGCAAAGCACTCGTTTAAGCCTCCAGCTTGCCTGGTCCAGTGCAAGCTAAAATTGTTTAAAAACCTATTTTTGTGAATAGAAGTACAAAAATAATGATGGTAAAATTAAAATCTCAATTTGTCCATCTTTTGGTTATAAAAGAATATTTTTCATACCTTGGATAAACTTTATTGAATTATACAATGTTTACTTGCTCATCATTTTTTTGACCTCTTGACAACGTGACTATAATTTCAATATTCAATTTTTATGAAACGTGTTATCAGTAGGTGCGAAAAATTACTCTAATGCTTGTTGGTTATCGTTTTTCTCGTATCAGCAAAAACTGGTGAATCAGAGTTTGCTGGGTCTGGAAGATATCGAGGATGTGATAGAATTTCTCTGAATTGTGTGGCATGATCATACAGTTCTTTCTTATACAAAATGCTACCTTTTACTTCCTATGCGAATGGGCGATGATGTATTGTAATCTTGAACAATTTTGGAAATGAGATATTATGTTTATTTGATGTTATATGACATTTACATCACGAAAAATCATGTCTCTGATTTCCGTCAGATTGTCTGCCTGTCTCTCTCTTTGTCAGTCTGTTTGTACGCTAATCCTTGACCGCTTTATAGCTTGGGAAGTACCGGTCGGATTTTGGTGATTTCTTACAGGATTGCTGCTGTTCCAGGGACGAAAAAACTTTGTATCTGTTCAGTGGCAGTGGAGTGGGGAAGGGAATGAGAAAAAACTAAAATGCCTCAAACATCGTTTTCAGAGGCTTCTGATCATTTTCGAAAAAAATTCTGTAGTGTTTGAAAATTGGATATTGAATATACGTTATGTCTTTAGTATCAGTCAAAGACTTTCTATCATTAAGAAGCTTCTAGTCCCGGTAATTGGAAATAGCCTGATAGCCTGCAATCGTTGGCCTTCGCGACGATGAAGCGTCATGAAAGCCACTGCTAAATGTGGCAAGCGCAATAGGTAACTAACCCCAATTGATGTACTGCATATAGCGGCGATGTTGACACGGTCAGACTGCTACACCGCTACAAGGATATTCATAGAATATTTTGTATCTGGAGTATACACCACTTTAGCGTTCTGCGATGCTTTTGCAAATAATGACTTAAAATACCCACGCATTTCTTCTAACAAATAACTTGTTTTAGTCAGTATATGACGATTCTCTGAATATTTACTCAGTACACATATACAACAGATATGGACTGACAAACCGACATATGTTAGAAATATGGGCTTGTGGGATGCAGATATATTTAAGCAACAGAAGGTTTGTAAACTGAAGTTCGAATATCATCGCAAGTTCACTACTTCCGTCGTTTAGGTAGTAGTAGAGTCTGAAAATTGATTCAGTGGCAGCGAAACTACGGATAAAAAAATAACAGTGTTACAACGCTTCAGAGGTTCCTGCTCATTCTCAGACACTGTTTGGAGTGGATGAATATTGCAGGTTGCAAGCTGTATGCGGTAAATGGTTGTGAATTGTTGCATGTTTGGTGTCAGTGGAACATTTTCTATATTAAGAAGCCTCAGATCCTGGTAATATAATTTACCTGTTAGACTAATCTATATCTGCCATGGAAACAAATATATTTAATTTATATAGTTTGCCATGTAGATGTCTGAGATTCATCGTACAGAAGTGAAACTACCTAGTCACGATTCGACTCCGCTTTTCGACTTGCCTTTGAAACCTTCAACGATGGATGTATATAGTCAATCTGGTTGACGCCAATTTTTTTTGTAGAGTGCTAACTTGAATTTATCCAGTTTCTAAGTATGTCTTTTCGACTTTAAATTTTCCTCCAGTTTCAACAGCCCATCATGGACTGATCCTCGAATATTCCACCATATACGAAACATTGCAGAGGTTTAAAGCCAGATTAGAGGTGGAAGAAGCATGTGCTCTCGGTAGAAATGAGCTCACGATACACCCTGTTGTAGTGTTTTGTATGGTCCACAATCACGCACTGGAGATGTCATGTTACCCCATTTATAAAGGAAGTCAGCACATCTAGAATGTTGTGTTCTGATTCTGTTGAGCCTTAATCATACATTTCGGTGGAGGTCAAAGCTTGATATTTTTCTGGTCATTACTGCTGACGGGTGCAGGTATTTTTCTTTTCTAAGAGAAGATAGCCTAAGACGAATACACAACTTCTGGAGTGAAATAAAAGTGAGCTGTCGCGATGCTCTACCTATATCGTCAGCAGTCGCATTGCTGTGTAGCGCTAAATATTCCTGATGCTTCTCCAGCCGTTTCGTTCTTATCGCCAGTTAATTCTCCCTCTCTTTCTACACGCTAACGTATTGGAAAGTTCCATCTCGCTATTAGGAATTTGGTGTAGTTAGGAAATTGGTTTAGCGTAAAAGAATGCACGTTGGTTAGTAACTTATAGACGCCATGGATTTATATGGTAATTTTTGCATGGAAATCTGCCAGATTGATAGCTCGAAACGAGGTTACAGGCTATGGACGTAAATGGTATGTAATAATATTATCCGATAGCGTTAGTGGTAGATATTGAATTTGCGTCTACATGTAAGTGAAAATAAAGGCAGCTTACTGCTTACTACAAGCCACGACCGCATCGGTTGTTTCAAATTCGACACTCATCAAGGTGAGTAAAGTCACACGTTTAGGTAACTAAGAAAATTACACTTATGGAGATTGACCATTCAGGATATTTCCAGAGATCGACAAGAAAGTATTTTCCCGAAATCGTTTTGATTTCTTCTGGCTTTATTTGAGATTGATTTCCAAATAAATTGCTCAACACCGTTGTTACTGGTTCTCCTATACAAAGTGGCACGATAAAGATTTCAATATACAGGATGTTCCTTAATGATATGGATATTTAAGGGAGTGAATCTACATGAAAAATTAATGTTAGTTTGCTTCATAAACTATGGTCAAAAAATATTTCCTTACAAAAACTCGGGGTGTTGAAGTTTTAGGAAAAACATGGAAATTAATCGATATTTTCAGAACCGCTTCAGATATTGCACTGATATTTAGTACGTAGTGAATGTTAATAAAGTTGAATACTTTTCAATGCAGAAATAATTTTGAGCTTTAACAGTGGCGTGCGTACGGGTATTGGCTTCGATATTTTTTAAGAAAGAAATGATACGCCAATGGTTTTTTGCCAAATAAAAATAATTTTTGAATTCTCTGTTCAATTTAAAACAAATGATCCCTCATGAATTGTTTACCTTTGATGCTCCATTTTTGATTAGAAAAAAATAAAAATCGTTCTATTGTCTAACTTGCAAAATTATTATTAATTTAATTGGAAAAAATAAACATATTAGGGGTAATGAAAAACAACAACTGACAACATAAACATACCATTGAAGCCACCGAAATGATTACAAAAATTGTTGAAAATGCCCCCTTCACTTAGTATCCATGCTTCCGCCATCCTTTCATGGAATTGCGCACTCGTTGAAATATCCCTGGAGTATTTTTTATTCCATCACAAACTGCAACTATTCTTTCTCTCAATTCCGCCACAGTGTTAAGGGGACTTGTATACACTGATGTCTTAAGATAGCCCCCCCAAAAAAATCTAAACTGTTGAGGTCTGGGGACCTTGGTGGCCATTCTTGGGGCCTACCGCGGCCAATCCAACGATTTGGATAAACACTTTGTAAATAATTACGAACCACTACACTAAAATGCGGTGGTACACCATCATGCATGGACCAAATATGGTTTCTTATTACTAACGGAACATCATCAAGCAGCAAAGGCAACTGTTGTTGAAGAAAATTGAGGTAAGTCTCTCCGTCAAGTCGTCCCGGCAAGAAGAATGGGCCAATAAAGTGGTTACCAATAATTCCTGCCCATACGTTAACCGAAAATTGGTGTTGGAAATGGGTTTCGGTTACGGCATAGGGATTCTATTCTGCCCACAAATGATTATTGTGGAAATTCTGAATGGCATTTCGAGAAAAGTTAGCTTCGTCCTTGAACAGAATCATTGAATTCAAATTGCGGATTTTATGTAATTTTTTGAAGATACCACAGAAAAAAAGGTCACACGCTTTGGAAAATCAATGGGAAGTAATGCCTGTATTCTTAAAATATGGTAAGGATATAACAAAAAGTCCACTAAAGTTCTCCAAATAATTTAATGGCAAATAATTAAGTGTCTAGCGATCTTCTTCGAACTCCTTTCAGGATGTTCTTTGACTTCGTGCAGCACTGCTTCCTCAACGTCAGGTGTTCTCACACTTAGGGGTCTACCTTCAGATGTTCTTTTTCGGACAGAACCAGTTCCAACAAGACAGCGATGAATATTAGAAAAGGTTCGACTATCTTGCAAAGCACGATCGGGATATCTCTGGTGATAAATCCGTCTGGCTTGCTCACCATTACCGTCGGCAAGGCCATATACGTAATGCATTTCCACCATTTCTGCATTTGAATAATTCACCATTATTAACAAGATTGTTGATAATGAAGAAGATTTCACAGCGAAGAGATTTGAATAACAGAGACTTGTCAGATTTCAAAAGCCAGTGACATATTCCAGAGCAACTAGATATTGATTGCTAAATTGCATTCTTCAATTATTACATTAATTTTCTCGGACAATAAAACGGTTCTTATTTTTTTACTCAAAAATGGCGCATCGAAGGGAAACAATTCAAGAGAGTTTGTTTGTTTTAAATTGAACGGGGAATTCAAAAATAGTTTTTATTTGGCAAAAAACCGTTGGCGTCCCATTTTTTTCTTAAAAAATATCGAACTCAATACCCGTACGCACGCCGCTGTTAAAGCTAACAATTATTTCTGCATTGGAAAATATGCACCTTTATTAACTGTCACTACGCACTAAATATCAGTGAAATATCTGAAGCGGTCCTGAAAATATTAATTAATTTCCATTTTTTTCCTAAAACTTCAACACCCCGAGTTTTTGTAAGGAAACATTTTTGGACCACAGTTTATAAAGAAAATTAACACTAATTTTTCATGTAGATTCACATCCTTAAATATTCGCATATTATTAAGGAACACCCTGTATTTCTAATATATTTGGTCTCTTGCAAGGACGCCGTATTCGACTTTTACATGGGGGAATAGAATTTTTAATTTTGATCTCAAAAATTATACAGGGTGTTGTATCTAAATGAACATAGTGAAATAGTAGCTGGTGTGGGCCGAGACCTTATCATATCTGTAAATAGAAAGCTCCTAAGTCAAGTTTGTGCGGATTTATTTGAATATTTCAAATCTTTAATGTCACATACCTAAGGGTTTTGCTGACTGAACTAGACTGGATTTTTTTCACTTTTCGGTTTTTGTGGTGAACATTTTTAAATTTTTGATTAAACATTTCTTTTATTCAAATATCTCATATGCACAAAACTCAAAATTCCATGTCGTTTCCCTCTAAAGCCGGACTCACGTTGTTGTATAACATCAGTTGGTAGATTTAAATCTCTAAAAAAGTGCCGAAAAAATTGAATAGGGTGCAGCGCATGATTTGTCCCTTATAACTATGTCATATATTGATCCTTCTTCTGCAAAATAGTAGTAAATTCAGAGTATCACCTACAGGGCATTGCTCTTAAGAAAAGGCATAGGAATAAAAAAACTGGATCAAACCTTGGAATTTTGATTTCTCAGAACATCCATGGTTCAATTTTAGCATTATCTTGTCATATATTGGCGAAACCAAGTGAAATTTTGGTTTTGTGTTTCATAAACTGCTAAAAATAAGATTTTGGATAAATATTTTTAACTAAGAAACCAAAAGAGGCGCGATCAATCTATTTAGCTATTTGTTTGTTCGTATACATAGTATACGATATCAATATATAGCCTTAAAGGTATTTTATTTTTCCACCGTTTGACTAGTTTCAAGTTACTCCTAAGTATCTTTGTAATCGTGCAAACTTTCATCAAAATCGGTCCGATGGTGCCTGAGATAATATATGTGATATTGAAGATTTGGCGTATTTAGATAAATCGCCTTACCCTATATATACTTAAGAACCCTGGTAAAAACTGAATCAGGAACTTGCCTAGTTTCAGGTAAGAAAAGATGTGAGCCCATATTAACAGAGATCAATATATTGCATGCTAAAAGTAAACCTTAGTTTTTATTACCAGATATTAATAAGTATTATTGAAAATTAAAATTATAGTAATAGTAATTATTTATTTCGTAAAAGTAGTACAAACAAAACATTTTTACAAATCGTCACCTCTAGAACAACCTGTACGTCAAAACAGTCTTCGAAGTATGTTCTTTGCAAATATCATCATATATACAATATATTACTCCTTTACTAAGGAGCGCGAGGTTCTCGTAGCATAATACACACATCATCAAAAGTGTTGGACCCCCTGGCGTACTGGGAAGTACTGGGAAACTATAGACTACTAATTTCAATCTTTGATATATTTTAAATTGGGAATATTTTTACTATATTTATTTAACAAAACGTTAAATCAATTTCATTAATATGAAAAGAAAAAGAAATTTGAACAAGTAAGGTACCAAAAATTTTATTTTTAAAAATCAAAATTAAAGAAAAATAATTATTCTAAAGAAAAATAAAACATAATTAATAACCAGTTCGGTGTCCTCTAGATCTTAGCAGTGCGTTAACACGCCTTGGCATTCATATTATTCGGTGGTTAATGCTTTCTTGATATAAATTATTCCACTATTCATTTACTGCTGCAGCCAGGTCATTTAGGGTTGTAGGTAGATCTATTCTGTTCCGTACGGCAAGAGCTATAGTGTCCCAAATGTTTTCAATTGGGTTCATGTCTGGGCTATTCGCAGGCCACGGCAATCTCACTATTTGGCCGCTCTCTAGAGCCCGCTCTATGTGGCCTTGCATTAGCATCCATAAAAATGAAGTTGTTACGGAATTCATTTCGCAAAGGTTGAATAATGGGTTGTATGACATTTTCTTCATAAACTTCTGCAGTCATTGTCCCCTGGATCTGAATTAAAGGACTCCGGTGGTTAAACATTATGCCTCCCCAAAACATTATTGATCTGTCCTGATATGGGACAACTTCTCGGGCAAATTTAGTCGTTGTTGATGTCCTGGTT